GTGTGAGAGAGTGTGTGAGAGAGAAAGAGCTGTAATTGCTGACTCTTTATCTTGAATCTGTACTGTCCTCTGCAGGTCAGCGTGCCATTTGAGCACATGGGAAAATAGAATTTTCCAGCTCTGCATGCAAGTAAAACTGACAGGTGAGCGTGGTTTTTGTTTTGTTTAGTTTTTTTAAATATTTGCTATTTATCTGTAAATTTCTTCTTTAATGACAATACATCTCTTGTTTCAGGGCTTCAAGGTATAGTTGTTGCTACAGTTTATTTTCCTTCATTCTTACTTTGTTCTAAGAAAAGATGATTGCAAATGGACACATGGGTCTTTGGAAAAGGACTGTAACTCTTTCAGGATCCAGGAAAATACACGAAGGTATCCAGCAATTTTTATTTTTTTTACTTTTTTTTTCTGCTTCTTCCTTCCTTCTCCATGAACTTTCTTTACTGAACCCTGGATTATCACTACCACAATACAAATGACAAAGCTGCACCTTGACAGTTGCTCATACCTGCCCTCCTCTTCCTCAAAACATTCCCTCAGCATTCTGAAAAATGTGAAGAACTGTTGGCATCAAAGGAGCAGAAGGGTATCCGGGATATGCATGTGTTTAATCAAAGGTTGATTATAAGCTGACATTATTTTCCCCCCAAAAATTTATTTTTCAATTTAGACACAGCAAAAACATCTTTTGATTTTCATAATGACATTGGAGTACTTTCCTGTTCTTAAAGGGGGCCTCTTATGCTCATTTCCTGCTCCATATTTGAATTCTTTGAGCCTACTAATAGAAGTAGCTTTGCATGATTCACAGTTTATAATAATCCATGTTTGTCTTACACTGGGTCTTGCAGCCTCTTTGTTCATCTCTTCCTGGAACGGCTTCCCCCTCTAAGTCAACTTTTCTGTTTCTGCCAAACATAACAACTTTATTAGGATATCCCATCTCTATGACATCACAAAGAGCCAAGACTAGAGAGAAACTGTCTGAAATTGGGCATTCAGAGCAGTCTGAAGCCAAAACATTTAGCTCATGGATTACTTATACAGGGAAACTACATACAGACTATGGAAGAAAATGAAGCATAATAGGTCCCCTTTACTGTTTGTTTTTAATAACCTCTTAAATAAATATAAATAAATGGAGACATGTAGGTCAGGTGATAGAAGGCAAAATGAAGAGTAACTTTGAAAAAGGAATAGTAAGTGATGTTTTTAGCTGCTGTAATGTTTCTGGTGAAGTAGCATTTGGTGATTGCTTGTCCTTCATCCCTTTTGTGATTACTTGCTGCCCCTCAAAACGTAGCCATGGAAGTCTTCGCCACCCCTTACTTGCCTGTTTTGAATCTTTTTTTCTCTTAAAAATGTTAGTGGAAATGGTAAAGAATGACGGTAGATGACAAAAAAATAAAGACAGAACTCTGAAGTCTTGAGGGAAGCTCCTCAGGAAATTTTCAGCAAACTGATTATATTCGACCAGAGACCACAGCTGCCCACTTTGGCTAACAAAAAGTGGCTGCAATTTTTATGATAGTTCTTAACATTACCTTTTTTTATTCTTTTATTATTGAAGGTAATAGGGGGTACTGGGCAGGCTCCTTCAACATTTGGGATCACATTTCAGGGTGCGGTCTGGGAGGGGGGGCATCCAGTAATATACTATAACTATACTTTTTTTTTTTTTTTTTTTCCCCCACACCCAAGTTTGTTTACTCCACTGTAAATATTTTTTTTATTTCAATGTAAAGCCAAATGTGGTAATTTTTGTTTTAAAGTGTAAAGTAGAAAAATGGAAACTAACAACAGAAATAGGCATTTGAAGTTTGGGTATTTAAAATGCTAAATTGTGGGATGGATTACTGTTGCTGTGCCAGCTGGGTCATCCAACATTTTGTGTATGTGTGAAAGGAAGCGTGATACAGTGAATCCCTGCAAAGAATAATAAATTCCCTTTGTCTTAGTTTGTATGCAGTTCTTTTTAAATAACTGTATTTATGTTAAACTGTCACTCATCATCCTGTAATTTATTGGACGTACCTTCTATGTTTTTTTGAATGCCTTTGTTTCTCAGTTGTTCAAAGCCTGTCCACCTTCATCGTTATTCAATACTTAGGGCTTTCAGTATCCTGCAAAAATAAAATGCCAATAGTGTGATGTCACCTTTTGGATTTTTTTTTTTTTTTTTAACTTCCAGAAACCTTGACGATGTCATTAAGAAGAAAGCTTAACTGATGCAATTTGCAGGGATTTGTAAATAGCAGTGTACTGTGTGTAATTACCTTTGTACAGGCCACCATGACCCAGTGGCATTGTAACTGTTGGGTTGGGGATGGTATGGAGAATGAGCCTATTTGGGGGGGATTTCACTTTATGTATTGTGTACTGATATCATGTACAGTTCTTAAACACTCTTTATTTACAGTATTTGTGTATATTTTATGAAGTAATAAAAATTAATAACGTTGCTCACAATTTCTGACTTTTCATCATTTTGTTATCGGGTGCTGGGTGTGGATAGAAAGTTGCGTTATGTTCAATGGCCAAGCACGGAGAACGACAAAGGCGTGACTGCGCATGCGCTGAGCGGAGTCGCTGCTGTTGATACAGAGAACTGCTGCTGATGTGGGTGAAATAACGGCGTTAGTAGCCCATTAGCATTGGATTGGAAATGGCAAGCTAATACCAGTTATTTTCTCAGTTTACACCTCAGCGTCGTGTTTTATTTAAAGCTTTCTAAAACCGTGTTATACGTCTTTGGTTTGTCTCTACTGGAAGAAGTAACTGCTAAGTTTGTGTTAGGCTAGAAAAGGGCTCGCTAACACTGGTTAGCAGCTGAGGTCGGCGTCATTAAAGCTCAGCTGTCGACTCTTCCCGCAGAAGAAGCCAGTTTCCGGAATTGAAAGAAAGATGCAGTGATTACATACGTGGCTTTCCCTCGTTTGAATGCAATAGCTTGGCTCGGTAACTTTTTATACTCCCGAAAGGCTCGAGATTGGATTCGAGACGATGAGCTAAGTTGATGCCTGGATTCAAATCGGCGCACATCAAACAACTGCAGAGGAGGTAAGCAAAGCGGCAGCACGGAGTCATGAGCGCCGATCAGCGGCTGTAATTTTCCGCTTTTATTGTGTCTTTCCTAACACTCATAACGGAATGGCTCAAACACCTTGTCATAAATCAGCATTTGTGTGCTAACTGTTATCCCGCCTGAAATTTTCACCTGTCTGATATTGCATGTATAGCACGGCTGTGTGCACTAATACGAAGGGTTGAAAGCTGGGAAGCTTGACTTCTCGTCCTTTGTGTATTTTCTTTAATCTGCTCTTAACACTATAAAAAATGACTCGTAACCACTGCTGAGTCCTGTTGTGTTCACTTCATCTGGCTGAACACAGCCTTGGTGCCCTGGTGTGTTACAGTATGTTTCAGACAGCTTTCCTGGCCTGAAGTCTTAATTCTTGTCACAAAGACTGCCAATTCGATTGATGTCGAAGTACAATGCATGTTTTGAAATCTTTCCCCGGGTGCAGTCAGCAGGACTGATGATCTGCCTTTCTGTCTTGTCTGTGGCCCACTGGGAACCAGCGAGGTGTAAGTGCAAGGTGCTGATCATCTCCATTGCGTATGCACAGCAGTGAGCACAGACTTTAATATGGATAATATGCAGATCATTTGTATGTTTATTTTAACATGGCATGTTTTAACTGATTTACATACTATAAATAAAGTCATTTTCTAACTGTTTACTTACAGAACATGGCAAAACCAAACATAACATTATCATTTTGGACATAGAAATTCAGCTGTTAAATCAACGTGATCCTGATCACACTGAAACTTCTTTAATTACTCAAATAATAATATTTACTAGTACAACTAAAATCAATAATAATAATACTAATAACAATATTCTACTTGTGTCTTTGTGGTGGTATTAAAAACAGGCAAAGCATTTAGACTGAATTGTCTGTAGGGTTCTAAATTTATTTCTGGGTTTGTTTGTTTTTTGTTTGTTTGTTTTGTTTTCAACTAAAACATATTCTGGTGTGTGTGTGTGTGTGTGTGCGCGTGTGCGTGTGTGAGAGAGAGAGAGAGAAAGCGACACACTGGCTCATTCCCAGTTGCTGCATTGCCACAAGCTGATTTAGGCTTTGGCAAAGTGGCATGAGTCATCCATGACAACACTGTGCAATCACCCTATATTTAGCTGGTGTTTCAGGAGGCTTTGAAAGTCATTGTGAAATTAGTTTTCACTGCAAACTATTAGATTATTGCCTTCCTGAAAATCTGTGCCAAGACATTGACGTAGGTGGAGAGATGACGGTTGCAGGGAGATGTAATTTGATGATTGGGGGCGGGGGAGTGTAGCAGAGCATCTGTCTCGATGTGTGTGATGTTGTGAGTGCCGGTTTGGCCGGTCGCCTGTCTAGTTTTCACTTGTCCTCATCAGTCCTGTGTAATTATGAGATGAATGCCACTTCTGCAGCTCATAATTATGTCATTATGAGCTGCAGAAGTGGTATACTCAGGCAGCTGTGTGGAGTTTGTGTGCTCCCCCTGTGCCTAAATTGGTTATAGGTGTGAATGAGAGCATGGATGTGTCTGGCCATGTGATGGGCCTGTTCAGGGTGCACAGCCTGGATACCCTCCAGCCCCCAAGATTCTGAGGCTGTTCCATTAGCTTTGTGGAATAGAAACTTCAGAACACCTTTATCCATTTTCCTAATGTGCATTTGCGTGCAGTTGTTTCCTTTAATTTCTACTGCTTTCAGCTTTCACCAACCACATGCAGCCACAGGCATGATCGTGTTAGTTCTGCATTTTTTGACTAATTTGTGCAAAGGTGTTTCACTACTCTCATGAGATATGTTTGTGCATAGTGCTATTTCTAGCTGCACTCCACTTCATTCTGCCCAGAGCAGAGCACCGGGAACAAGAAGAGGAGAAACTGGGTCACCAGATCTTACGGATCTGTCACTGTGTGATTTAGGGATTTTTCAGCCCTCTGCTCCATATCTTGATGTGTGTGTTTTTTGCCCGTTTTCACCAGTGCCTCCTCACCCGCCTACCTTGTGCTTCCTCTTTTCACTCCTTCCATTTGATCTGGCTTCATCCATCTGCCAGCTGTGCAGTGTCATTTGCACTTTTTTGTGCACTGTCCTACTTTGCTCTGCTCTTTATCTTTTGCTGTTTCCTCGTTCCAGCTTCGGCAGATATTGGCATGAGATTTAGGTCGTTGGCCGCACAAGCCCACTAAGATGCATTTACACATCAAGAGTGTTTTATTCAGGCTTTACAAACTGGAACATGTTCTGTTGATTGATGCATGCTATTAAAAATGTCGAGGGTAAATTAAGTGTGATACAAGAAGCATATTTGTTGATGAAGTGTCCTTTCTTCATTCAGATGAGTCAGCTTTGGTGGCGAGTCAAGCGGCTGTCAGAGAGGTTGGAGAATGACTCTCCTAGCGGCCTCACCCTGGGGTCCCCAGCCACTACAGCCCCACAAGGATCCAACACATCATGGGTGCCTAAAACCCCAGTGGTAACACCAGATGAGCCAATTTTCCTCATGACCTCCACTGCCCAAACTATATCAGGGTTTTTTGTTTGGACAGCTCTTCTGATCACATGCCACCAGGTAAGCAGAGTGTTTAAATGGTCAGCGGGTTTAAATGAAATGTTCCACTAACAGCTACCTGTGAGAGGGTAAACTGTGATCTAAGAGGTTAAATAATAATAATTACAGGGTTTTGAGAGTTCTTTCTACAGTCCAAGGGTATTTGGGAACCTGTTGACTATGTGGTGGTTTCACTAAAGGAATAACCAGGTTGTGCTTTTTATTTGGTCAAAATCTGTCACTAGGCAAAACTCAAATGCACTCTTTGCTAACATGTTGTTAATGGTTTCATTCAATGTGGTTACATCTGTTTTCCCGTCTTTGCCCATAGCACTTACCCAAAACATTGATCTCAATGTCAGTGTTTTGGGTAAGTGACTCAAAACCCAAATTTGAATCATGATCATGATTGTTTGATTTTATTTAGACTTAATCAAAGGTTGGTTGACTCTTTATGTGGATGTTCACACACCAAGCACATGTAGTGTTATGTGCTTCATATGAGGAAATATTCTTCTTCCAAATATTATGGGATTTTCTGTCTGCAAATTTGTTTTGTTTTTGATGTGAAGGTGATAAATAACATCCCATTCCCATGAATTGGCTACATTGTGTTTGTGAAGAAGTTAAATAAATAAGTACTTATTCTCATCTACAATCTGCTTTCTAAAGGCTCCTACACATGGTGAGATTTCAGCAACCTTACAGGTTCATTGCAAGCCAAATTGTGCCACGTGGATCTAATTTGTTGTCGTTTGGAAAACAAGTTTGATGCATCTAGGCTGTATACTGACAATTCCTGCTGAAATGTGGACTGACACAGACAGCTAAACCTACTCTGCTGTTTGTTACCATGCCCAGTTGTGTTAGCTGCAGGAGACATCATATGAAAAAAGCTCCCATTGCCACAGCTCAGAAATATTTACTTCTTTATGGCTTTAATTCCACTGACTTGCGGGGAGCAGGGAGACAGTCATCCTAAATTGCTGACACTGAGTTTTGTCTTAGTCTAGTGTCTTTAGTCACCGAGCCACATTTAAATCTTTAAAGCAGCCTTTAGGAGCCAGGTTTAAGATGGCTGCAAGCATTAAACATT